TGTCTCTCCCCAACTCCCCACCCCCCACCTATTTCTCCCCTATTTCCCCGTCCCTCCCCTATTTCCCCCCAACTGACCCCAGTGTGTAGTGCTCCCCTCCCTGTGTCCATGTGTTCTCATTGTTCAGCACCTGCCTATGAGTGAGAACATGCGGACATATGTGACAAGCCACTGTTTGCCCATCTCACAGTGACATATATATTTTTGGACACAGGTACTAACCCCTTAGATATCTTTTTCTATTAAATTTCATTTTATTAGAATTAGCTTTTTTTTTTCCTGTATGTTTTTAGATCCTGGCATTTTCTTAATATGTTTATAAGCTGTCTCCTAGGTTCATGTCATCGACGTATTGGATACCAACAGTACTACAGTACATCTTCATTAAAGTTATTGATAAAATTGTTGAACAAGAGAAAGCCACAGATAGAGTCCTGAAGCTTGCTGTAAGAATCGCCCTTCAGGTTGATAGCAGTTCATTAATGAGCACTTGTTAGGATTGTTGAAAAAATTACCTAGCCACCTAGTTGCACTGTTATCCATCTTCTATTTATCTTGTATATGGGTGTAATGGAAACCTGGTCAAATGCTTTGTTGAAATCCTACCAACACATGTTTTTACTGCCTCTTTTTGATCTGTGACCTGTCTATACATACACTTGTTAAAAAAAAAAAAAAGAAGAAATTAGATTAATCTGGTAAAACTCAGGTTGATTTCACAAATGGTTACCATTTTCTTTTCTAAATGGTTAGAAACTGTTTTAAATAAATAATCTGAATTTAGAAAAGGATTGACGTCAAGTATACTGGACTGTCGTTGGCAGTTGTTTCTGTTTTTTAAAAAATCAGAACTACAGTTATTTGTTCTTTTCCAGTCTTTGGCAACCCTCCGGTTTCCACACTTCCTCCACTGGCAGCAGCTCAGTGCTCTCATTCACGAAAAGCTTGACTTCATTTAAAGCAGCTAGGTGCTCTGTCACAGTCTCCTCAGTTATGCTGGCCATTCTCTGTACCCTTTTTAGCCCAAAATAAGCAGAGTTAACATATTTGAGAAGTTCTCTCTCTCTCTTTTATTTTGGTATTCATGAAGTTTACAGTATCAGTCCTAAGCCTAATTCCTTTAATTCTGTTAAACATGTATTGAGCACCTTCTCTCTATGAGACATTATTATGGAAACTCAGAATACAAATGTGAATACAGCTGGATCATACTGGACCCTATATGGACCATTATGGACCTGATATGCAGAGTTTAAGGACATAATCATAGTGTATTTACTTTTTTTTTTTTTTTTTTTTGAGATGGAGTTTCACTCTTGTTGCCCAGGCTGGAGTGCAATGGCACAATCTTGGCTCACTCCACCTCTCAGGTTCAAGCGATTCTCCTGCCTCAGCCTCCCAAGTAGCTGGGATTACAGGCACGTGCCACCATTCCAGGCTAATTTTGTATTTTTAGTAGAGACAGGGTTTCACCGTGTTGGCCAGGCTGGTCTCAAACTACTGACCTCAGGTGATCCCCTCACCTCGGCCTCCCAAAGTGCTCGGATTACAGGCTTGAGCCACCGCGCTCTACCCATACTATATCTACTTTTGTAGATCTTTTAAAATCACAATTGATTGAGAAAACTGAGAAAACTATCAGTTTGTTTGCCAAATCTGAGAATACTAAAATGAGAGGATTATCCTAATGCTTAAAAAAGGTAGATTCAAAACAAAGGAAGTTCAGTTTTATGTGGTTGATTTTAATCTTGTGAAATGTATAAACTTATAGAAAAGGCTTAAAAATATGTACATGTTTATAAAAGATGTAAAGCATGTACCATGTATATATTCACAGATTCAGTGCTTGATGCATTATTAAAGGCAATGACTAGTGTATTTGGGTAATGGCACATTTTTGAGGATGTTGTCTGGGAGGAAAGCATCATATGTTCTGTTGGTGTCAGGGTCAAAGATAGATTATTAAGCTGAATAAACCATGACTATGAATTAATTTTTTTCAGTAAGGAGTGATATTGGGTGGAATTAATGAGGGAAGGTTTTCAAGAGGTGTTTTGAGAGAGAAAAAAATACATGGCTTGGTTAGAGAAGAAGGATGGGAAAGAAATCATATGTAGGTATTGTAAAGTAGAATTTTGTGGCTACCTAGAATACTTAGAATAAGAAATTAGATTGGTGGAGGTTGAGATGAGTCAGTGTATTGGAGAGACACTTCAGGTGAAATCTATAGGGTTGATTAGATTTGGTTGGGGAGGGAGAGGAAGATCATTAAGGTTAACTCCTAAAATTCTGCTTCATGCAGCTGTGGGTGGTGGTGCCATTCACTAACAACAGTAAAATACTGGGTGACTAGGACTGGAGGAAGGTCATGAATCTAGTTTTGGATCTATTGAGTGCTTCCTTTGTCCTCACATGGTGATGTTAGTAGGCAGTTAGATATAGGGATGTAGAACTCAGAGCAGAGGTCTGGGCTAGAAATAGGAAGCAGTTTACTTACTTACAGGTTGCAGTTGTAGCAGTGATGAAGCATGGGCACCAGGGACCAGCATAAGAAGTAAAGAAAACCACTAAGCTTTCCCTTTAGAACACCAGAGTGTTTTCTTTTAGGACATCAGAGTCTGGGTATAAAACGATAAGCTGGCAGAGGAGTCTAAGAAGAGATGGCTAGAGAAGAAAAATCTGGAAAATACGGTATGGCAGAAGCCAAGGGAAATTACCGTTCTAAGAGTAT